AGATACAGCGTCCAAGACATTTTTAGTAGCACAGCAGAATCTTTTTTTCAGGAATTTTCTTCAATTAGTTTGAAAGTCTTCACTAATGTCACAGCCCTTGTTTTTACTCAACATATCTTTTGTAACCTTTCCTCAATGACTACAGAATTACCGACAACTAACTGCTTGTTACTTAAACGCTCCAAGAAGTACTTTACAGAAAGGCTGCATGTGTTTTTTTTTTCCTGTAGATCTTTGATGATACTTGGCAAACCTGTCTCATGCGGTTACCTAATGTTTTGTTTCCTTGATCAGTCAAAAATTCAGTAAATTAAACCAAATACAGATGTCCAAGATCCATACTTCAGAAGAAATTCACTGAGGCTACAAGATTCTGATGTCAGCTAACAATTCTCTTATATCAAGGCAGCAGGACTATGCAGCACCAGTCAGCAAGTGAAAATACTTACAGTAACCCTTAAACTGTCGGGTATTTTAACTTTATTCTCCACAGCCACCAGAAGTACAGAGAATCCAAAGCCATCAGAAACTAAGGATGTCCTACATCTGCAGTAATGCAGTGCTCAGAACATCTATTGCCATTTTGAGTAACAATCAGCAACTGGAGTGTCATCAGTTTGAAGAATCAGATCATTAAAAGAATGAGGTAGAAATATTCAATCAGCCATGGCTTCCTGAGTATTCTGAAGTCGCTTAAGACACTTCTCTTGCCTCTTTTGCTCCATGAAAGGTACAGAAGGCTGACTACACAATATAGAGGGTCTCTGGAAGCACACTAAAACAGTTGCCTTGGCTGAAGCAGCAAGTCCCCCTTAAGCTGTCAATTAACTTCAATCCAGTCATTTGGAGCACAATAAATTCTGAGGACCCCTTACCCACCTAGCCTTGTTAATTGCTCAGCTACTTCGAAACCGCGGAATATCTGTACGGTAAGAAATTCCTTCTATTTCTCTCCATCGTTAAGTTGCTTAAGATACCAATCTGTAACACATCAGAGAAGAAGCAAACCACAGGTGTACAGAGAAACTCCTACTGCATACATGAAAGTTATATAAGCAAGATGAAGCCACAGGGGAAGATGTTTGGGAAAAAATTATACAAAAAGTTGTGGTCAGAATAGAGCGCGTGTATAAAATCCCTAGTGAAGGAACGTCAAGGTTGGAAGAGGCATTGACTGGCAAGCGTCCCCTTTGAGTCTGTTTTCCAAGGCGTATTAAAAGCCACGTTATCTCCATCTCCAGCCACTCAAGAGCTCTGCTGTTTCATACGTCTTCAATCCTCTGTCTTCAGCACCAGCATCTCATCTTCTGTCCTCCTCTGCAACTACAATTTCAAACACCAGGTGTTATTCTTACTTCCTTTTCTTGTACCTCGTCATCAAGATTACTATCTTTCGCCAGCCGCTGAGATCTCTGTAACACTCCTTTTTTGCTGCGTCAAAATAACAGTGACCAGGCAGAGAAGCATCTCAGAGTACACATCATTTTCTTCCTAATTGAGTGCACTGGAGTCTATCTTGACAGCATCTGAAGGAGAACTGGAGAAAAGGGATTACATTATGATCTGAATGGTACAAGAGCTGCTTTTTGTGAATGCAGCTGTTCCATGCAAACACAGTGCATTACAGAGCCTATTGTTAAGGTCAATATCTAATGAAAGACAAGGCATACTTTCCTAAAATTCACTGATGTAGGAAGGGATTTGTTCTTGCAACATATTCTGTTTTGTGTTGTTTCATAAAAACATGGAATCAGAACAACTCCTTGGGAAAAATACATATTTTCAATGGTTTAACAACACGCGGCTTGTAAGCAATTGATTCTGGGGCTATAATTTAGACTCAACACAACAAGCCTACTCAAAGTTACAAAAGGGTAATGGCAGTTTAACGATTCAGTCCACATGTGGTAGTTCTCCCCAGTGGCTGGGAACACTCCATCCTGGTGTACATACTTTGGCAACATTAAATCAAAATGCTGCTCTCCTAATCAGAGATACCACTTTGATCACAAAGACAGGCCTTTCCAAATTGTCAAGTCTCATTTCCAAATACACAGGAAAGCTTCACAACCCCGTTTGCAGATCTAACTGGCTTTAAGGGAGAGTTCAGAAAGCTACTTGCTGTCACTACCTGAGACCGAGTATCAGGATCTGGCCAGCTAACTGGGAGTCATGAGGAAAAAGCTCTCCACTAGTAACCACGGGATGCTCCTGAGCTTCAGCTAATCTGACTCTGACTGCGACAGCTTACCCTAGCAACTTAGCAGAAAAAGGCACAAGGCACCATGTTTCCCTCCAGGCTAGTTCTGCCCTTTGACCCTGCTGGCATATGCTGCCACGTTCTCTTTTTTACCAGCTGCACACACTGACGTCTAGCTATACGCTCGGCCTATAGCACAGCAAAGGGTCAATGTCTCAAGCCCACTGGTTGCAAAGCTGCAATATCATCTCTGTTTTCTGAGCAATTCAATGATAAAGAAGATAGTCAAAGCAAGCATGTTGTATTTTTGATGGCTTTACCTGCCAATTATGTTCATAACTTTACAGGGCCCGTCAGGATTAAACACTCTAGCTACGACCACGTGTACCCACGCAAGCTCGTAAAATACTCTGTTTGGCTTTTCCATTAGCTTTAATGTTTTCATCTGCCATTTAAGTATCGAGTAACTAGAGTATCCAGCTGTTCAGCAAGGTAGATGGCAATATGGACAGATGCTTCATTTCTACATTTGCAGGGACAGGAACAGTAAGCAAAGAGGACTATGATTCTGGAGCACACTGGACTACAGCCTGGGAGCAGATAAGAAACAGGTGGTGACCTCATGAAGAGCTGAGGTTAGAAGAGTTAACATCTGCCACACAGTTGCAAGTTTGAGTGTAGAAGAGTCTTCAGTAGTAACTCCACATCACTCCTGCCATCCCTCTGCACACAACAAGAAACAGAGCATAACACAGTGAAATCAAGACCACCATACCTTGCTTGGCCGGTTTGTCATCCTTCCTAACTGGTCATCGTTGGCCTTCTCTGATTGTTGACTTCCGACTCCAGAATTCCTTGTCTCCTTTTCCCCAAAGCGTTCATCCAGCTCCTTCGGTGAGGATCTTCAATCCAGGGCGGCTTCACGAATGGTTTGTCCACTGGGATGAAAACTAGTGCTTCACATGTAGCAAGTAATTCCAAAGTCTTAACTCATATTTGCCTTTGGATCCTCGCTCTCTTCCTCCAGCATTTAGCACTGAGCTTCATTCCAAACTTGATGAACCTCTGGGTGGGGGAATAACCCACCCGCCACAAAAGCAAGCTCTCAGGGGTTCAGACCTCGGTAGCTCCAGGTTCCAACCAAGCTTCCGCCGGCTGGCTGCCCAAGCGCTTAAAAGCGCCATAAGAAGCAGGGTTTGCCTGGGTCATACGGTCAGCCCAGAAGTTTAGTTTCAAAAAAGTGACTAATGATCAGGGATAAGACATTTGACAGCTTAGCCTACGGATGAGACAAGTAAGAGGACTTCCAAGAACTGGATGAAACCACACAGTGCAGGAGATCTCAAAGAGCATGCCCAGAAAAACGTGAGGCAACACATCGCAAGAGGAAATTGGGAAGAAATACTGAACGGGTACAACAGCAACACTCGAGACTTCCAGTCCGCGCTGGGGAACCCAACGCTTCAGCTAGCCCTGGGCGCGCAGGAGTCGAAGTTAATCACCATAACCAAACAGACTCGTAAAACGCTGCTGCGTATGACTAAAAAGCGTTGACCGAGTCCAGCGATCTGAGGCCGGTTCGAGCCGGAGCGTCTGAAGCTTAATCTTAAGCCTTCTACTTTCTGAACTCTGGCGGCAGAGGCGGAAAAGGAGCCCCGACGATTTTTTCCTCTCCTCCCGATCAACTCTTTCCACGCCGCAGACATCACCTTCACCACCCTCCCGAGGGAGCAGGGCTCCCTAGCCCGCTCCCACGACGCCTCCTCAGCGGGAAGCACGTACACCGAGACAGGCTTTAACGAAAAAAAAGCCATTTAACCCGTACACTGATTAAACCAAAAATCCTCTCAGGAGGATTTCCCCTCCCCAACTCGCCGTCTCACCGGTAAACCCGCGCTAGGGGACGAGGCGCCCGGCCCGGCGATGCTCGGCGGGCACC